AGCCCATGAATGCTGCCAACATCTGCCACACTTGGCTCCCCAAAGATAGGCTCTCGTGCTCATTATCCCTCACCTGTGCTTTGAAAATTGTAGCAGAGAGACTGCCTGGAGATGTAATTCTGACCTTTCCAGCCTCTGCATGAAGGGTGGGTTCACTGCACGGAGCCGGATGAGTCAGGCTCCATTCAGGGGAAAGCAGACAGAGAGCGGAGGTGGTGTTGCTGGTTTGTGTAGAGGAGCCGAAGGAGGTGTATCTGTTGTAGATTTCGTTTGGCTCTTCAGTGGTAGGAGCATCAGTCATGCTCCCTGAACTAAAGATTGTGTCAGGTACTCTGAGAAGACTGACTTTGCAGCCTCAGCCCCTAACGCTGGGAGCAACAGTGAGTGTGGAATCGTTTGCTCTTCCACCTGCAGCAGGCTGCTCCTCTGGGCCTGTGGTTTTTGTTTTCTAGACACCCTCCCACTGAGTGCAATAATTTCCTGTAGTATATTGCATGGATCCACAGATGTCTATTTCCCTCGTTTCACAAGTCAGAAAGGGACTGGTCTAGGTATCATTATAAATTCAGTGTCTACATGAATCAGTTTCCCTAATTGAGGAATTAGGAGAGAGCTGGGCATTCCAGGCAGAGGCAATAGTACGTTTGAAAGTGGGGAGATATGAGAGGGCACTGTATACAATGTGGTGAGGTGAGAAACAGGGTAGTCTGCTGGGGAAGGGGGTCCAGTGGGGTCAGAGAGTTCAGGGGAGGAGTCAGAATGGGCTGCAATGCTCAGGAAATGTATTTGAGCTGATTTGAGAGCCTGAGGAAGCCAATTTGAAGGATTTTCGGCATGTAAGGGACTTACATGATCAGATTTGTGTTGTTAAACAGATTTGTCTAACAGCTGAGTAAATGAAGGATTAGAAGAGCTCAGAGTCAAAGCAAAGAGGCCATAACTAAATCATTTCAAATCACTGGGAAAGGCTTCCAGGTTGTAGCAATAGCAAGAAGACCAGGAAAGCTTATAGACTGAAGATGGTTTAAGCCCACTAGGATGTGGGGCTACATAAACATGGGCTGTGGTGTCAGTCAGAAGGCTCTAACCCACTGTTAGTCATAGTCCACCCTATGCCATATACCTCACACCTCAGCTCTGAAATCTCAGAGAGTGAGAAACAGTGATAAGGAAACAACATAGAGCTAAAGAGGCTTTGAAGATCACTGAGGCCAGCACCCATTCTTGTATATAATTGAGCAAAACAATGATTTTTCTGGGGTACCATTGAAGATCAGGGAGGCTAACACACACCACCCCAGCATCTTCCTAATTCCCCATCTAGCCCCTGCCTCTAAGATTTTAAATGTGTTTACTTACACTCTGTATCTCCCTAATAGTACAGTATAATATCTGAGAGCAGGGACTTTCACTGTTGAAAACCATGACTTATCTACATTGTAGGCACTTAATGAACATTTATTGAAAGAAGAAATGAACCAAGTATAGTCAGGTTTGCCCCACCATGAACCAGTGATCTTTGCAGAGGTCCTTGCTTTGAAGGTTATCCATTGCACAATTCTGTTTCCTACCAAGGCTTTGCACAATCACTCCAACAAAGATTAAATTCTACCAAGCAATAGCTCTATAGTTCACATGGCTTCAGATAGTAAAGAAAAAAAAAATCATGATTCTGTTACTTCAAAACTGGTAACCACTGGCCAGTTCACACCTGTCTGGATGGCTGATCTAGAAAAGGAAGAGTTGGTGAGTATGTTGATAAATAAGAATCCCGTGTGCCATTGGTGGGATTGTAAAAATGATGTGGTTGCCGTGGAAAACAGTATGGCGGTTTCTAACAACTTAAAAATAGAGTTGCTGTATGATCCAGTGATTCAACATCTGGGGACATACCCAAGAGAACTGACAGCAGGACATCAAAATGGCTTTTTTAGTTGTCTATATAGTGGGAAATTACCAATACGGAGTCAGGTAGAAATATAAGGGTATTTAATAGGGAAAAGCCTTACTTACAGAGCGACCTAGCCAGCTGGTGGCAGCAGTCTGTACCGCAAGAAGCAAAAGAGAAACCGAAACCAAAAACGCAGTCCCACTACGTCACTCTGACCGCGCCCTCACAAGCCTGGTCAGGCACACCTGTCCCCAGCCCCTAAGAAGGCGTGGCTACAGCTTCCCCTACAATTCCCCTTTTAGTCTAAAAGAGGATTAAAACTTAACAGTATAAAGTATCCAAAATTAACAATCATAAAGGTAAAATATAAGCAGATACAACAATCTGATTATGTCACATCCTAACTATCTATTTTAACTAACCCCTAAAGTCATCTGAGAGAGGTATCCAAACCTGAACACCTCATTCCAATCCCAACCAAAACAATAGGAAGCTATCCCTAACTAGGTATATACACTATCCTAAATGACAACAATGGGGAAAGGGGGCGTAGCATTCTCCAAGTTACTTCCTGCTGAAATGGGACAATGATAGTCATATGGGGTCCTGTAGAAAGAAAATGTTAGTATCCAGTCCATGTTAGATGGGATTCACTTGATTGAAGATCTCGATTGAAATCTGGCTACAGCTTCCCCTACATGTCTAATTCCCAGTAACTAAAATATACAAAGAGCTTAAGTAGATAACCCAGGCTGGCCTTGACAGAGGCTCCTCCTGCTTCGACCCACCAAATGGTGAGACTACACGTGTCTGCTAGATTGCCTGGCTAGAAGAGAGCAGATTCTAACACATACTATATCATGGCTAAACCTTGAGGGTATTGTACTAAGTTAAATCACCAGTCACAATGAGACAAATGCTGTGGTTTTTTTTTTTTCATTTGTTTAAATACCCACAAGAGTCAAACTCAAAGAGTCAAATAGTGAAATGTGAGGGGAATGTACAGCTATTGTTTGCTGAGTGGAGAGTCTTGTTTTGTAAGATGGAGAGTACTGGAGACTGTTTACACAACAGTGTCAATTTTTTATGGTACTAAACTGAAATCCTTTAATAGCTAAGATCATGTACTTTATGTTAAGATTATTCATCATGAAGTATGTATATCTGGTACCTTATTTGACCCTGAACTGTTGTGAGAAGTACTTGTCTTTTCACACCACGACCAGTCTGTACTGGTTATGAGAACGGGTCTCCTTGAGTAACCCAGGCTGGCCTTGAACTCCTAACCCTTCTACTTCAGCCACCTGAATAAGTCCTAATTTATAGTAAAGAAAACAGGCTTGGAGTCATACAAAGGATCTCACAGGGCACCTGGCTGGAGAAGGACTAAGCCGAGACATTGCACTCAGGATACCTGAAGCCACTCCCAGTACAGGCTTCTACCACGTCAGGAGATGGGGACAGAGAGATGACCTGTTGACTACAGTATAAGAAATGAACCCTTGGCAATTTAGAGAAAGAATTACAAGGCATGTGCTGGGGTGGAGGTGTGCAGAGGGAGTGCGATGAGGGAAAACAGCAATGGATAGCTCACCAGCCAGCTTGCAGCCACCTGCCTTCAGCTTCCCTCCCTGCCTAAACCCTCAGAGCAGGTGTGAGTCAACTGTAAACATGGTGAAGAAAGGTCACACAGCATTCCCTCAGCTGGCAAAAAAAAAAAAATACAAAGTCACTGCCATGGCAATGTACATGAAATAAGAAAGAAAGAAAGAAAGAAAGAAAGAAAGAAAGAAAGAAAGAAAGAAAGAAAGAAACTTGAAATGTGATCAGGAGAGAATAATAGCTCTTGGTGTTTGAAGTGACTACACTACATATCCTCCTACCTCCCATGCAGGCAAAAGATGTCAAATGTATTTACCAAAATAACCGAGCACTAATAGGAGAATGTGGAACAGTAGAAGAAGTACCAAGCCTATTTGACTGGACTAACAGCCAGCTCCCTATGCAGTCCTTAACACTCCCTCACTATTCCCCACCCCTACCTTCGGCCCTAGGCCTGGGCTACCATTACCAAAACCCTTTCATATGCTCCATTTGAGCTGTGCTTCAAAGGGAACCACAAACCCAAGAATATTATTCCCCCCTCCCCGTAGCTTTTGTTTATCATAGTCCTACTATGTGTTGGGCCTTCTACTGGACACTTTCTGTGTAGTAACCTCAAACCTTCTAGTGTCCGTAATATTATACAACTGCATGTGAAGTTCAGACAGGGTTGCACATAGGATTTGCTTGGAGGAGAAAGGGCAGAGTCAGGATTTAGCTGTAAGCCTTTGAAAGTTTTATTTTACAAAGTGTGGAATTCAATAGCCACATTATAGAGAGCTATAAAGGTATCAGGGGAGCGGTGAAGCTGCTGCCCCTGTTGGTCTTCTCTCGAGGCAGTCTTGATGGATGGAGAGTGAGCTTGAAATCAACTGGGAAGTGCAAGGAAACATTTGACAAGCAAGTAGGCCAGAATGGTGTGAGGGCAACGTCTCTGGGTCAATTGTAAACAACCCATTTGGTGTGAGACTAATTGTTTGTGTGGAGATAAATATTCCATTAACTCCTGAGCAAACAGAGGCAACATTATGAAGAGCATTGTTCAATGTCAAAGCAGATTTTAACTGTTTTTTAAAGAGAGAAGCCATCAAACAGCTTGTCAGACACATGTGGTGGTACAAGCCTTTAATCCCAGCACTCTGGAGGCAGAGGCAAGTGGATCTCTGGGATCCTGGTCTACACAGACTTCCAGGCCAGACAGGGCTGCTTATAGTGTGACCCTGTCTTACCAAAACACCAAAAAGGTTTAGGATCAATTGCTACTACTGTCTCTAGTTTGTGCTTCCATGCCACGACAGCATCCAACATAACCAAACTTAAGAGGGAGAAATGGTTTCACCCATCTACGTAGACAGCAGCAACACAGGCTAATGATATTCCTCACCTGGGGACAATTCTCATGTCATGTCAGCCATCGGAGACCTTTAACAGGTACAAGGAAGCCAGGGGCTCATGCTGCACATTTTCCCAGGGTAACCAGACACTTTTGTTCCTCTTTGTGCTTTAGGAAGGGGTAAAAACCTTCAAGGAACTTCGAGCCAAATTTCAAAAGTATGATGCCCCACCTTTTCCAGGACCTATCAAGTTTTCAGCTGGTGTTTCTCGAAAGGATGACAGGGGACACCCTCAGCCAGCCCAGAGTCTGGCTAGCAGCAACAACCTCTCATCCCACCACCATAGACCCCTCTCTTATTCTTTGACCGAAGTGTCCAAGCCTCTTAAAAGCCAGAAAATGAAGTTGGCCCAGAAAGGTGAAATTCAAAAGAATTCAAGTTCCTCAGGACCTCCAGGAAAATCTGCTGAGTGTCCTGCAAGAAATTCCCAAAAAGCTGCCATGCCATTGGATGCCAGTAAACCGAAAGCTGGCACACCCAACGAGGAGAAAGGAATGAACGTCAGCAGCTTCAGATATAAGCTTTGGAACTGGGAGAAATTTTCATCTCAGAAGAGTGAGATATCCCCAGCTTCTCCCCTTACCAACTGTGGGTCTAGGACCTTCCATCTGGAAGGGCAGAAAACCATGGGGTCTGTTCAGATAAAACCAGAGAAGAGCCCAGAGGCAACAGGAGTCCAGACCCTTCCTCCCCAGAGCCATTTGATGGTCCAGAGAACATCACCTGTGGCCCTTGAAGCCTCCCCTTTGCCACTTCCTCAGCATGACAGGAAAGAGACAGACAGCCCTAATGCTGAGGAGAGCCCCACGAGTAGCCTGTGCCAGCCTGTTTATGAATGTGAGCTTACCATCCCGGTTCCAGGTAAGAAACAGAGTGTCCGTGGGACTGGAGACAAGACCATTGTGTGCTTTTCTTGTCCCAGGCCTGCAGACTTGAAGTGCATGTAGCCTTTGCAATAGAAGTAGAGTGTGGCTGTGGTCAGTATATATGTTAAATTGTAGTCTCAGGTTTAAATAAGTGTTAGATTCAGAATCACATTGTGGCACAGTTTGGCTGTGCTTGGACTTGAATACCCAGCTCCACCTACATAAGCATGGGTGATTTATAAGCTTCTTATGTATGTTCTATATGAAACAAAACCATCACCAGCCTTCTCTGTGTAGGAAAAAGCACAAAATGCATCATTTTCAGTGTAGGAACCTAAAAGGAATACTCCAATCTTTAGACCTTATTCTTTCTTTGAATCCATCAACTTCCTCTGTCTCTACCCTAAAACTATGCTTGGAATCCCTCAGTTTCTGTCTCTGCCCTGGGCTGTAGTCTCTACCACACTTTTCTCTCAGTGGGCCCTTACCATTTGCTCTTCCTGCTCCCACACTCTCATGCCCCCCCACCCATGTTCTGTTTTCCTTGCCACAGACCTGGTGAGCCTCTAGGCAAGTCAGATCACAACACCCTGTGGCTCAAAATAGGCCTGACCTTCCAACAGTGCCTCTCACAGCTTGGTGCTTGCTTGCTTCTCCATCCTCCTTGTCTCCTGATTCATTGGCCATGCAGTCTTTAGACATAAAATGCCAGCTCCACCCCAGGTCTTAGCACAGATCAGTCCATCTACCCTGAAACTCTGCTTTGAGGTCTCTTCCTCTTTCACAGCCTCTATTACAGTGCCCCTGCTCTGAGTGGATTCTTTAAATCATCTCTGCTGTCCCCGGTGTTGCCCTTGGGCGGCTTGTAGTTCTTTGGTTTTCTCATGGCCCTTGCCTCTCCCCAGTAAGTTGCCATACACTTGTTTGCCTCTGTAAGGTACAGTTTTCAGAGGATAAAATTCATCTACCACCTTATCACTCAAGAACAAAATCAAGTTAAGTCTCAAAAAATATTTATTTAGTGATTGATTAGTTGGATGGACAGACAGATGGGCAGATGGCTTAGTGTATGAATGATCCTATGGCTTCTCCTTGTACCTAAAATAGAGACTAAAGCACTATAACCTTGATGGCCTCACATGTTAGTCCTTGCATCTCTGACTTCTCTCCCCCAACTCACCAGCTTATGGTCTACGGGCCAGGTTGGCCTCCAGGACTCTCTTCTTTGTTTGTTCCTGCTGTATTTTTAATCTCCTCTTATTATGATAGACATTCCTAAAGCCAGGACTACATTTGTTTCTGTTCTCAGTTCCAGCTCCCATAATAACACCTGAAATAAATACAGTAAATAAAGAGGTATCTATAAAGGATGAGAAACAAGATGTATGGGAAAAAAAAAAAACAAAGAAGATAGATCATCTCTCAGGTGACACTATAGAGAGTTTAATGAGATAACTGTTGCTGGTGGTTTGCTGTCCTGACAGGTTCTGCTGTCCTTCTTAGCCCCAAATGAACTCACAGACACTATATTAATTATAAAACTGTTGGCCAATGGCTAAGGCTTCTTGTTGGCTAGCTCTGCCTTAATTATTAACCCATTTCTATTAATCTATGTATTTCTGCATGGCCTTATCTTACCAGAGAATGCCTGGTGCATGCTATCCTCTCAGTCTCTCTCTGCCTACCTTTCTCAGAATTTTCCTTGTCTCCTAGTTCTGCCTCTATTGGCCAAACAGTGTTTTATTCATCAACCAATAAGAGAAACATATATACAGAAGAACATCCCCCATCAAATAACCATGTAGATCAGCTTAGCACATGGGGAGTGAGTATCCTGTTAATGATTGGTGTTTAGTTTTCACTATGTTGTCTTCTTGGTTTTATTAAGACTACAATTCCCAACATTTCTACAAACTCACAGTTAAAGCCTAATAAGAGAGTAATTTGGCCCTGAGTTTTTGGAGATGTGGCACCTAATGGAAGGGCAAGAGGAAGCTTGCCCTCCTATCCCAGCCTGCATAGGGCACGAACTTCTCAAAGGCTCATGTGAAACCCAGTCTACTTGTTTAGTTTGGGCCTGTATAGACAACTACTGCATTGTGTGAACCAAGAATGAAGATGCCCTATTTATTAAAAAACTTTGTGTCCTTTTCTGTCAATTGCCACATATGATTTTCAGGTATAATTATGGGCTTTCTGTTGGAGTTGTATTCATGAATACAGAAAGCAGAAATAGGCATTACTGGGACTGTTTAGAAAATTCTCAGACACCAAACTCACAGATTCTAAGACGCTTGAAACCAGAGCCCTAGAAATTCTTAGATCAATTCCTACTCTATTGTGTAGTCCCATGCTATTTGCTCAGCTTGTACTTGAGGAGTCTTTTTTGGTGAGTAATCATAGTCGCTGTCCTCTAAGCTAGGAGAGCAGTGTCACAGGGTCCCCACAGAAGCCCACCAACCATGGCACAAATGCAGCAGCATTAGCAATACATCAGAATATGCAGATTAAAGAGTCCTAGCCTTGATTCTAGGAAACACAAGAAGGCTTTTTAGGGACCTGACACTGGTGTTCAGCCTTAAAATAACAAGTGGATGTTGTTAAGAACGGAGTCAGCATCCCACAGTCAGGAAGGGCAGGCACAAAGTCTCAGATATGAGTGAGTCGCTGACGGTTTTTAAAGCCAGTGCTGGAACACTGAGAAGCCAGTGATGTGAGCGAAAGATGTATGCACTGAAGGTTGAGAAGTAGGGCAGGGCCATTGCTGAGAAAAGTATCTAGAGCCATGATTCCAGGTTGTGTGGAAATAGTACATCAGTGAATGGTCCATGCTGATGACCAGCAAGACAGTGATGTAAGCAGGTGTGTGTTTGGGTCTGCGAGATCTCACGTGAGTGATGGGGACTCGTCAGGGGAGGGAGGCTGAAGCCAGGGAATTGGGTCAGTTTTACCTAACAAATATAAATAATATCATACATGTTTTCCTATTCATACTCAGAAAAGCCAGAGAGCAGACGTCACCAGCTTCCCAAAACAAAGCCACTGCCATCCATTGAGACCCTCGGCCCACCTCCCCCGAAGCCTTCAAAACCCCCATTTGTGAACCTCCAGGCCTTCCAAAGGCAGCCAACTGTTGTCTCCAAGACCCTGAAAGAAGGTAAGAACACACACAGGGCCTACCCATATCAGCCAGAGTCATAGTCTGGTACCTAGACCACCACATGCCCTTTCCCTCTCCACCCTACTTCCATGTAACAAGCTGCTCTTCTTCCAAGGGGCTGAACATTACTACCCCTGTTTGCATGCACAGCCGTGGCAGTTTGCCCATGAAATGACATGTGTGTAGGAATTGGCCCCTTTATCGCTCCTGAGCCAGTCTGCTTCCCCCTGAGAATACTGCATTGCGTTACTGGGACTCTGTCCAAGAGGAAGAAAATGAAAAGTCTCCAAGCAAGGAAACAGCAAACCTTTGTGTATGGGGCACAACCTGTGCTGTCCACTGTCAGGGAAGGAGGAAGGAGAAGAAAGGACAGGGGGAGAGAAAGTGTGAGCTTGGCCTGACACTTTTACAAGAGTCCCCTTGGGCCCCTGTGCCCTGCATCCTCTGTAGGATGTATGCATCTTTGGAAGCCATTTTTCTTTTCTTAATTAAAATTAAAAACAATCTTATTTTACATACCAATCCCAGTTCCCTCTC